TTAATAAAAACAAAACAAACAGAATAGCTGCCAAACTTTTAGGCCGAGCGAGGACACATGAGAGGCAAGAACTCATGCTGCCTGTCCTGTACTCAACCTCCACTTCTGCCTTGTACTGCTCCTGGATTAGTGTTATTATATGTGTTCATTATGTAATATAAAACATACAAACATTTAGAGTACGACCTTTGGCTTTCTCAGATCTCACAAATCATGGCATTAAACTTTGGAATTAAGATAAGAGCAGGGTTCTCATTAGAGGAGCCATACAATGCAAATCGGATTTTTGAGCATATAACCTTATACTCAAACCGACCTGGAGTTGTTTTTAGATCCATCCACGCTGATATCAAGTCTTATGCGGCTGGAAGTTTTGATATCCCGCTCGGAAAAAATGGGAATGAACACACCTCTGAAACTCGAGCTGGGTCAATGTTCCCCAAGTTCCAGAGTAAGAAGACTCCGACATGTATCAGACTGTGATTGGAGGAAAGAAAAGACTGAGAGTGATTTGTATCTTACTTCACAAAATAAACATTTAAGACCAAAATCTATATGACATTTAATTAGTGAATTCAAGGTCACAAAAGCTTTGCAGAACTGTCTAAGATTGCTTTTAATTAGATATCGCATAATGCTGCTGACAACAGAGTATACTCCACAAAAGTAATTATCCTTGAACCAAGTACAATTATAGCTCCAGAGTTTAATTTTTTTTATCTTATTACTTTATTATTTAATTTTATTATCTATTATTCTATTATAAATAATGTGCGCAACAATGACATTGAAATCCCCCCACTGTGGGATGAATACAAGTTTATCTTATCATATATTTTATTATAATAAGCTGTATTTGCTCCTGTATATGTCCTCGTTACAACAGTTAGTGTTTCTGTGGCTTTCTCATGAATCCAGGTACATTTCTGCAGATTTTAGTATTCTCACCAGCTCCTCATGAACGCTCAGATTTTTGGAAATCGCAATACTACGTAGATCTCTCAGAGTTTCCGAGACCGCATGAAAGCAGCAACCGTTTGTAATAGTAGGATGTCATTGTACTGCTATGACATCATGTTCTGAATAGTTTCTCCCCTTTTAAAATAAAAATAGTGCCATGAATTATATATATATTTTTTTTTTAGGTGAAATGACTTTATTAACAAACACATGCTTTACCATTCATACTTGTTTCACCTTATATTTTCTTCTTTAGAAATCATTTCACATTCTAACACACACAATCATATAGTAAAAAGGCTTATCATCGTATACAATGGCCAAAAACAATGCTTAATGCAAGTGTTTTAGACCCTATATAACAACAGAAGGATTATTTATGATTTAAATGCCTTCTGTGATTTTAATGTTTCTTTTCCGGTTTTGAAATCACCTTGAGTTGCCTTTTGTATGAACTGCATTATACAAATAAACTTGCCTTTCATTGCCTTGGTCACACATGGACACATTTCAATAACTGAACTAACAAAACAAATCAATATATGCTAACGAATTAATGCAAAACAGGAACATTCAGGCGAAACGCAACACAAAATGTTGGCAAAACTCGCCGTAAATATCACTGAGTGCACCTTTAAGCACACAGCGTTCTTTGGAAATTACATTAAAAAGTTTGATTAGAGTTTAATTTAAACATTTAATTTGAAAACAAAAAACAAAAAAACACCCAGATGAGTTTTTGTAGTTATTCACAGTCCTATTTAAATGCAGATGAGAGCGGTGAGAGCAAAACATGGACCGTCCTGAGTTCAGTCTCCATCTCGGCCCTGCGGCTACAACTGACACGGCATAGTGATCCTGCCCCTGGTCAGGAGTAATGAGCTGAAGCTAACAGCCCCAAGCATAAACAAATTCCTCTACGACCACGAGAAATGTAAGCCGCGTGCCAATTCACAAACACCAAGTTAAGCCCTACAAGTTATCGAGGGAAATGGATAAATAATCAGACAGATGCGCACTGAGCTTGTTTTGTTGAACATCCTCTCGAGACTCTGCAACACAAGAGTTCCCAGCCTCCTGACATAAACCGTCTTTGGAAGAATCCGATGAAAGAGTTTCTCTTTCCTGTTTTTGTCTTGTCCTGTTCCGGTTGAGATTGCTTGAATTTGACTATGACTGTAATTAAAAGTCTGCAACTTAGATTGTTTTTAATTCAGAAAGTAATACATATATTTGACCAAAAGACCTCTGAGTATCATCTGTATTAAGTATTTTTCATAATAAATATACTTAAAATCGTTCTTCCCCTTGGAATAAGCATCGCCAGTAAGATTTTCTGGAGGAGAAAAGCAGGACCAAGGATGTGGTTCAAAAAAGTCTCCCCATCTTCACGTTTTGAAACTTTAATATCTTTTTAAATGTATTTGTTTTTTTTAGACCCAAAAGCTCAGTGATCTCTCTCACTCTATGATCCTAGCGTTATTGTGATATTGTCTTTGTAAATCCAGATTTGAGCCATATAAGTAATGACCAATCAGATGCCTTCATTCACTATGAAAAATCCAGCTTGCCTTAGCAACCACCATAGCAACATGTATGTCCCTGTCAGAACCTGGCTCCTGCTAGCTTCTTCTGCATTCATTCAAACACTATGGCAGCACTCGGTCTGTCCACTTAATGTACGGTCAATGCTTGTTCCACATTTGGTTATTTTATTTCATTCTGTAGCCAATTATAAAATGTTGTTCTTTTCACGTTTAAGTCTATGTAAGACAAAAAACAAGATTTATCAATCAATAAATTACAACTATTTAAATAATCAATTAATGAGTTATTTTGTTACAGCCCTAGAACCCATTCTCACAGAAAACTGTGGCATAATCACAATGATCCACCAATACCACCATTATTTATTACACATTTATTGTAAAACTCTACAGGAGTCACATGACTACACATTTCCTTGAAGGATAAAAAGTTTAATTTATGACTATTTCTTACATTTTTTCAACCAAAACAGACTTTTTGGGGATGGGCCGATGTGAGTATTCTACAGTTTTTTGTGAGGATGGGTTGCCTCAAACACCCGCACGTTGTAGTCCATATTTAAACTGTCCTTGATTGCCCATTCAATTGTGACCATATTATTATTAATAAAAATTAAACAATATATTAAAAAAATAACAGCAGCAAACTTTATCGGCCTATAAGATAAAAGGAGACCAAGTTATCTTTCAAAACTGATGATGTGATCCCACCTCCATTCACGCCTCCTTCCACATAAGCACAAGAGTTCACATGACTACAGAGAACATATTTCTTATCTAACATTTTCTTAAAATAATCCATGTTTGTCCCAACTGAAAGAGGAAAATGTTTTGAATCAATCAGACCACAAGATTTTGTCTTAATATTATTAGAAAACAGAATACATTTTTCCCTGTGAGTCACCATTTGGTGCTTTGGGCTGATTCTGGTTCTGAGCTGATTGGCTGAGAGAGGATGGTCCTCTCTTTTTCACTTTTATAACTGCTTTAGCAAAGTGATGTCTGAAAAAGGAGGCCAAAAATACATAAATCCAAACTGTTACGTAGACAGGTTAGTTTTTCCCTATACTGATTATGTGTTGATGCAATAGGAACAGTACTCCAGCTTTAACATTGATCAGGATAAAATAATAAGTCACTCATGAGAATCATACAAGACAACATCGATAACAATCTATCTGACTAAAGGATGGATAGATTGGGATCTATGGCATGGATGTAATTATAGCATTATGCTAAATTGGGTGCAGACGACTTTTTAATGTAACTGCACATTGTGTAAAAAAATAAACTAAACTAAATATCTTAAAATACAAACAAGCCAAACACGTCCATGCATGCTGGTTTGGCTGACTCTCTTCTACGGCTCTATCCTCCCAACCTGAACATGTGACTGCAGCAACAGGCATACATTACATGAGTTCATTTCCTTTGGAGTTTTTAAATCAGCATGGCGCACATGTCTCTGAGGACCCAGAGGCCATGGGCTTAGCTGGAGCGCTGGGGAGGCCACCTACCCTTCACTTGGCACGCCGACCGGACCTGCAGCTGCAGCAGATACAACTGAACAGGCTGCAGTGGCTTGTAACATTAAGAAAAGCTTGTAAAGATCTCTTTAAAAACCTCTTAAATATCATGGCCAATGTTGCCACTCCAAAAATTAAAGTTACAGTTTTGTAATGTTATTTTATTTCTGTGTAGACTCATAAAATACAGAAGCTGAGCTTGGCTTGGCTGAAAGCAAAATTATATGACTACTATTTTTACCATTGCAATATATAAGGGCCATATTGTATATCAAAGCTCACTCGGGTTGACACTTTGGACTAATAAATGTTCCCCAGGAGGATTCCAGCCTGGACTGTGATTCATGAGCCTGCAGCCTTTAAACGTCTCACTCTGTGCAGACACACGTTTGAATAAAAGACTTTTAGTGCTAACTCTTTAACCTCAGAACCCTGGAAAGATGTTGTACATGTGCGGTTTAGATTCTTTGAGTAGCACTCATATTTTACCATCATGTCCAGTGAAACAACATTTAATGAACCGGACATAAAGACTCGATGGTCTCTATTATATGGTAGATCCACAATGAATAAATATGTCCAAGACTAAAAGTGCTTTGTATGTTGTTTTTTTCAGAAATAAAGATGACTCCAGGCTCAGTAAACAGTAGGGTCATAATTCATTTACAATATGACATTCGTCACAATACCAGGTAGCAACCAGAAAGTATTTGGAATAATTTAAAAACTCTTTAAAAATATATATAATGCTTACTCTATAGTGTAAGTGCACTTGCACAGTAGCCAGAGCTGCCCCAAGGCTGGCTGACTAAAGCTGTGGAAATGAAACTACGCCTGTGGCCCCATGATTTCCACCAGTATATAGGCTATTAGCACGTGCACACGCTCATAGAGACACTGTGGGTGACAATGACAGCATATGGATATGACGTGGTGTCAGGTGGAGGGTCTTGACCCCTGGACTCACCTATTGGTAAAGCCACGAAGAACGGCAGCCAGCAAAGCGTAAACATGCCCACTACCACTCCCAGCGTCTTGGCCGCTTTCTTCTCGCGGGAAAACTTGAGAAGTTTGACAGTCAGTGAACTTCTGGCTTGGTTCGCGCGTCCTTTACCGGCTGCAGATGCGCTCGGGTCGTCGCAAAGCTGCGATCCCTTGTGTATCCTCATGGTCAGTTCACTGGAGTTCATCCTCTCTCGCATCACTCCAGCCTCCAGGTTCTTCGTAGTCCGCTTAGCAACAATATAGACGCGGCAGTACATGGACAGGATGACCACCAGAGGAATGTAGAAGGAGCCCAGGGACGAGAATAGTGCGTAAAAAGGCTCCTCTGTGATCAGGCACACTGTGTCATCCGGAGACTGAGGCTGCTTCCAGCCGAGCAGCGGCCCGATGGAGATGACTATGGACAGCAGCCACACGCCCAGCATGGCCAGAAGAGCCCGGGTCTCCGTCACGATGCCCGGGTACTGCAGCGGGTAGCTCACTCCGATGTACCGATCAATGGAGATGACGCACAGACTCATGATGGACGCGGTGCAGCACAAGACATCCAAAGCTGCCCAAATGTCACAGAACACCCGGCCAAAGACCCAGTAGTCCAGGATCTCCAGAGTGGCTGACACGGGCAGCACCATCGTGCCCAGCAGCAAGTCTGCGATGGCCAAGTTAATAATAAAATAGTTAGTCGGCGTGCGCAGGTGCCTGTTGCACATCACTGACAGGATGACCAAGATATTCCCGGCGATAGCAAACACAATAAACGCACCCAGCACCAAGCCCAGCGGGATAGCCCGGCTGAGGACCACTGCTGTGTGGTTCCCCCCGGTGCTGTTCGGTGATGCGGCCGCATCAAACCCCGAGGAAGCGTTTTCCCACAAGTTTGTGACATTGTCAGTGCTTCCACTCATTTTGCCTCAAGAAATCCTCCATATCAGTCCTTAGAGCTGTCTGAACCCAAGTACAAAAAAGACAAAAACCTAGAAGAGCTGTCTCAAAGTCTGTATCAGTGTATCGTCAGAGCTGTCATCTCCTGCAGCTCACGCAGAAGTGTGGGGGTCTCCTCTGAGCGCGCAGCTCCACTGACCAAAGCGCGCATGACGCACAGCTCCTCAGCGGAGCGCATTTTCATTTTCCTAGCCAGGGGGACGTACGGAGGTCTCTTGAAGCTATTCCATTACAGTGCCAAGTCAAAACGTATATATCCGCTCTCTGACCAATGGGGCACTTTCCTCAAAGAAAATAATTGTGGATAGTGAGTGTCTGACAGAAATACTGTATATGTTCCAGAAGCAGTTTGAAGGCTCAGAAGTCAAATTGATTAGTCCATTATCAAACAACAGAGTGGTGGTATGACTTGTGTTTCTGGTAAAACACACTCCTATTTTGGTCATCTGCACCAGTCCCGTTGGAGTAATCTCATTTGGGATATGGGCTCGGTTAGTGAGGAGTGACTGATTTAATGGGCTGAGTTCAGAGACTGCACATTCCTCGAGCACTTGTCTCTCATGTTAAAGTGCTTTTTGGCTTTTTGGCTAAACCTGAGGCAGTTTTGTTGGATGACACAGATGTGAGGTCAACTCTGAATCCTGTCACGAACTTCCTATAGCAGCCTATAACATTCCAGTGAAAACCTTTAGAGCAATTTCTTCCCTCATTTGTCAAAGCGCATGTGATGATTTAGTTGCGCTGTTGTTTTTTATGGGTGTTTTGATACTTTCATTCAACCATCAAGTGTTTTAGTCATGCACAAGTAAGAATGAAGTCTGCAGATTGTTTGCTACGTTTCTATATTTGTGTGTTCTGCATATTATTATGTGTGAAGCTTAAGGAAAGTAAAGGCAAAGGTATTATATCAATAGGGCAGAAGTAAACCTGACTTAATGTTGATTAGAATGCTGGTAAATGTCATATATCGCATCATTTACACTAAAAGGGGACAGTATGTAATATTTTCATCTTGTATCTTGTATTATTTGTCCCCAGATAATACTTCAACATGAACAAATCATATTTGACCCTTACTTGACAAAAGTAAATGACATGATATCTTTAATATTTATGTTATAACATTTCAAGAAGATTATCCAATTAAGGAGAAGAATGGGGCTCCGGGCATTGGCTTTTTATGGATAAATTCACTTAAAATTGGAACCACACATTTGTTGAAATGGAAGCAGAGTTTGCACCATTTCTCCAGCAGGTGGATTGCATCAGTGCTCAGGCGCTACATTTGTCACAGGAACATTCTGGCCATAAAAGTGTAATTGAATATACCGTATCATAAATGAATAAGTAAGTAATCTTTATTTATATACCGCCTTTCACAGACCAGAGTCACAAAGCGGTTTACAATTGTTATTTTTGGGCATTTGTCTCTCACTCCACACAGAGATGGGAGCGGGGTCACCAGTACAGGAAGCGCATGCCAGAACTATTGTACATATTTTTAGTGGTAGGGGAAACCGGAGTACCTGGAGGAAACCTACACAGACACGGGGAGAACATGCAAACTCCACTCAGAAAGGCCCTGGTCCGACCGGGATTTGATTCCAATAAATTAGTGAAGTCATTCGGTTTTTCAATTCCCACTGTCACATTAACAATTTAAAGAATAGATGGGTTTCGGCTGATGTTTCACACTTTTTGCGCTTAACCCTAAATGATGAAATCAGAATAGATTTGTTTAAGCTGTACCCACATCTGAACCCTCATGTATGAGCTGGTATCCCTTTAGTTTTGCATGAGTTGTTTCCCAAACCCAAGGCAAATGGTATGATCTGTGTATGTAGGCCTACAGATAATAAATTCTCCTTTCAATCCTCTGAGCCCCTTCAGGATAGATTAGCCGCCCCGTGCCCACACATCTCTGAAGACAAATAACTCCACTCAAATCAAATCCAGCGTTAAACGCAGCGATCAGGTGTATTACACTGTCCGCTTCATTTGAGCAAAAGAGCTGAACTTCCAAGTAACACAAACGCTGCTCAGGGTCCACGCCAAGTCTTTTATGCCTGTCAAAGTGTGTTTGAGAAGGGGAGAGCAGAAGAGAACTGCAAAAGATTTTTTACTTTGATAAAGAGTCATTTGCTTAGAAAATAATAACAAAAACTTACAATCAGAAATTACAGTAAAATTCACAAGTTTCATTTTTCACATACTGAGAGCTGAGTGGGCTCTTTTACTAAAACTGATCTAAAGCCAGAGAGACATGGACATGCATGATTACATACTCAATTGTCTTTCTTTGTTTTTTTTTTGAATGTATGCATTGATTGATTGTTTTTTTCATTTGAGCAGAATTTATACATTCAGTAGTATTTACAATATTTACATTTCTTAGTTTACATAAACTTTTGTACATGTTGCCTACTGTGCTTACAGTATATACTGTACCTAGTTTCATCATGTGTTGTTTAATTATGATTTCAATATGTATTTGCAAATGGATTTCTATTTACAATTTGTCATCTCGAAATGGAGTGGGAAAAAAGCAAAAACTTGCAGACTCCCACCCCATGAACATAATTCAAATACATGCAAGATTGTAGTTATTTGCTTTGAATAATGATAACTTTAATACTTTATGATGTTCAGTGTGATTTAACACTGTAGGAGACACTTTTGGGCACTGTGAAAAAATGAATGTTTGGCTGATGGAGGAGTAATGTATTGTGGCCGTGTGCGTGGGAGCGCCTGTGTGTAACCGTGCATGTGTGTTTGGGCGCGATACACAATATTTTGAATGGGCATACACCAGCGGGGGCACGGGAAAGAGAGGAGAAAGGTCTGTTTGGGAGGCCATAATTTTTGTTGACCACTATTATAGTTTTGTTTGATTTATTTCTGCTATTTTTCTGGTTTGAGTTCATTCACTATTTTTTTCTGTATTCACCACGTATTTTGGCCTGTGACCGCAGCGTTTATTATGAATTAAATGACATTGCAACTGGATCCAGCCTCGCCGTTTGTTTTCTATACTAATTTAGCGCATCATACACTTTTATCAGACCCAACTGGCCTCTCCGCGGCTTTAGGCAACAGGTAGCCGCTATAAACACTTTAATAAAGCTAGATCTGAAACAATGATCGTTGTGCCGCAGCAAGGCCTAGTGCCCCAACCCAGGGCAGCTTTTCTCAGGAGAAAAATAATGTTATTGTATGCGCTACATTCTTTACAGATAACATTTGTTACACACAAACAAAATGTTAAATGCTAATTACGAATGGATTTCAATCAAGAAAACCAGACTTATCTTTTAGCTCCTCCTAAAGTGGGGCATCTTCAAATGTTGTGTCATTCTGAACTAAGTAGTGAGAGAAACAGGAAGAAGAGAGGACACGGTTCTTTCCTTTGTCAGTTTTCTTTGGGAACCTCTGCTTGTGTTCAAAGCTGAAACCCTTGGACTCGGGGGGTCAAAGGTCAGAGCTCCCGCTGATGCACACATGGTCAGCATTAACGCCACACAACATGTCCGTCCCAGACAAACACCTGGGTAAGCAGCCGCAGCTCTGCAGGCCCGGGGGGGGGAAAGTGTCATCATCTGTCTTTTGAGGCTTCACTTTCTGCAGTTTGATCAGAGGTGGCATGTAACTAAGTATTTTTACTCACTGTAAAGTTGCCTTTGTTACTTATGTTTTAACTTCTTACTTTTAATTCTCGCTTTGAAACCAAAATATCTCTAATTTCTCATCCTACATTTTTGAAAGATGGCAACATGGAATATGAACAGGCTTGAAGTGGTTAGCCATGCTTCTAAATGAATGAATTATTAAACCAAAATGCTTCTATGTTTACATTTTTACTTAGTACAAATACACGCTTGAATTGTATACTTTTACTTAAAGAGATGTTGTGTAACTTTTTCTTGTTAAACATCTACATATATGTGTCCTCAGATTATTGGTCATCACATCAGACAATAACATCATTGACCTTTTCTGAACAATATGCACAATATTTATGTTTATGATTTTTAAGCAGTCAATCCAATCAGAGAGTAGAACGAGTCTCTCATTAGGGTTACCCGCGTTTTAGGTAAAATGTTTTTGGCTTTTTGAATGTTTTTTTTCTAATAAAATACACAAACAACATCAAAATAGCACCACAAACGTTTAAATGAAACCAAGTACAAAAATAAGTAGTCATAGATAATACACAGTATCAAAGTCTGTACCGTTTCCAGCCAAACTCCAGCAGGTGGATTGCATCAGAAATCATCAGTGCTTAGGAGCTGCATATGTCACAGGCAGGAAGATTTTATTTTTCAACAAAAGTAACTTTAACGACTTTTTAGACCAGAAATACTGCATATTATATATTCAAGTATTACATACAGTCCCTTTTAGTAATGATTTAAATCCTTTCACCAGAGATGATTTTTATAGTATCTGCATTTTCACTGCAGTAATTATTAGTCAAATAACAGTTCTGTTGAGCATGAGTGCAGAGTGATCGATACATTTTCACCTAAAAATGGCGTCCACAGTAAAATCAATTATTCCGAGACGTAAATCAGCCATAAAGTTTATGATCTCATGTGACAGAAGAAGACGCTGGAGTGTTTTATGGCCTGAGAAGCAGTGCGCTCATGAAGTGTCACACTCAGAATAACGCTCGATCTCAAAAGGTCAGAGAAATGCATCACGAAGATCTGCGATACACTGGGGTCATGTCCCGTCTGCAGCTGTGGACACAACCTGCACTAATGGGAAAACATGAGAGAAAAGTTAAAAGAACAGGCACGTTTTAGAGACAAGGATTTTTTTAGAGAAATTTGCGGCTTAAGCACTTTGGAGCACGACTTTAATCTCATACTTTATAATCTCATACCTCAGCTCACTTATTGATAATCTGCACGGTTAAAACTCTATTTTTATGTTTATCTATTAGAATTGTATTAAGATTTGT